TGCTGAACCTACCTTCTTTCCAGAGCTTAAATTGATGTAAATGCTTTGCTGCTAAGGATTCGTTCTGGTCACTTTCATTAAAATGTTGAGGTTTTTTTCTCCATGCCTTCTTATGCTGTATTTGCTTTTAAGTAATACAATATGGTAAGGACTTTGGAATAAATTATATCTCCAGACACACAATGTTAGGTGGGTCGATAAATGTCCTATGACGTCTACTATGCATCATAAAATTTCTATCATAACCTTTTTAACAAAGCTTTTCTTCTTGGACACCAAGAATTTAATTCAAAGCATTTTACATATTGCATTACTTATCAAAACAGTGGATATGTAAACCTTGACATTTGTTAAAAGACTCAGGCTTTAACAAAAAAAAGACCAGAACAAATGGATAGCAGAAAACAGATTAAACAACCAAAAAGTGACTGCTTAGAAATAGGAGCATGTGACATTACCCCAAGACAAGCTTTCAGCACATACTCAAAATATTTTTTTATATATACCGGCATCTGAAAGTCTCTCAGACTGTACTGGAGCTTCATATATTAAATTGTTACAAGTAAATAAATGTACAGTAAATAAATGTTAGAGCCTGCTTTAGTATAGGAGAAATTAAATTGCTTTTCTTGGCTAAGATTTGTTCCCACATCAGTGGGTATTAAAATAACCATGTACCACGTTAAATTATACTTCATATACTTGCCAGGTTCTATTTAATTCTAGTACAAGTAATGGTAATAATAATAATAGTTGTCAAAAGTATCAGTACTGTATATAGTAAACACAATGTAATTGTTTTAATTTATGTTTAGTAAACATGTTAGTTTACATTTAATATATACCTAATTCTATTTAGTAAAGATACTAAATATCTTGAAACAGTATGAATCTTTCTGTTGTTGTCTTTCATCAAGGCCCACTACTAATACACTTAAGGAACATAATATAAAATAAAAGTGTTGTGATTATGCTTACAATTATTCATAAATCACAAATTAACATGTGCATACCTATGTACGTATGCATATTAATGAAATATATGCCTCTTTATAGCAAAATATGACAGTAAATGTCACCTTTATTTTAGCAATTAAGAAATTATGATAGTAGTAATTTGATTACTCATATGCTAGTATGTGAACCATTCATTTGCAGGACACATTGCAGTTTAGGGGGAAATGGAGATATTGCAAATCCAAGCATGCCATAAAAGCTGTTCACATCTTTAGTAATGCTGCAAGAGAAATACGTAATGTCCCTCAAAAGAAAGCACAAATGAATAAATATAAGAAAAAATATCTAAAAAGGATTCATTTTAATATGTTTTGCAGGTTTTTGCAAAGTTGAGGCTGTTTTTTGGTTTGTGGCTTTTTTTTTTTAACAATACTGTGTTTTTAAGGAACATTTCTAGGTTCAATCTATTAATTCAAAGTGCCATTGTCATCCCTTACCAGACTCTCTTATCTTCTCTCATTCCCTTGATTTTGACAAAATTCTAACCATTTCCTAATTGACGTGTCTTTATTGAATATTTCTGAAGAAAAAAATTGACTGTTTGAAAATCAGAATCAGAAAATCTGTTATAAACACAGGTATGGACGGCAAAGTCACTGAGGTTTTCTTGTTTATATGCAATTTTCTTTTTAATTCTTGCAAGATTCTACCTAGTTGCTTACTTTACACTTAAGTGCAAAGCTGCTCTTTCTTGAGCACATGTGAAATACTCATACCTAGATTTTCACTGGAATAGCAAAAGACATGAAGTAAAAGTAAGCATATTAATTTGTAGGCATATGTATGATCAATCAGGTAAGTCCTATATTTGCAATGCATTCCATTCATTATTGGATTATCATTTTTGGATTAGATATTAGGAAAAATTTTTTCACAGAAGCGGTGGTCAAGCATTAGAATAGGCTGACCAGAGAAGTGGTGGGATCACCATCCCTGAAAATGTTCAAAAAATATGTGGATGTGATGCTTAGAGGCATAGTTTAGTGGTGGACTTGGCAGTGTTGAGTTAATGGTTGGACTCCATTATCTTAGAGGTCCTTTCCAACCTTCATGAATGTGTTTCCATTCTTGTGTTTTCATTAATCTTTCTGTTTGATCTTGCATTAAACTCTAGGAGAAAGAACTGCAGCAAAACGCTTTCTTATATTTGACTAATACCTTCATTATAAATGATGTTTCTTTGCTTTAGGACACAATTTGTTAACCATAAATGATATTAAAGCCACTAGCAGTTGCAATAGCCACTGATGTAACATCTGAGAAATAGCTGTGATCTGAACAGGAGTAAGCAAACTGCACTATGCTGGTGTAATTTATCTGTCCTTGAGAATTGTTCCACAGGAGATGGGCCATTGGTTTTCCGTGCCAGCTCTGTCTTTCAGCACTCCAGTAAGACCAATAACTGGAACAGTAGCCTTGATAATAATACCAATCTCTTAGTACTATTTAGTAGATAGCAAAGTGCTTTATCAGAAGTGCAAACATAATTATACCCATTTCAAAAATGGAAATATGGGACATACGAAGGGAATGATTTGCAGCGATTTACAACAAATCCCTGTGTAGATATTTCATTCCAAATTAGTTGATCATTCTCTACAATGGCTTTATTTTCCTTGGCTGAATAGTGCTGAGAACTGTGTAAAGGGTGGAAAGAAAGAATGCAGTTAGTCTGTGCTTCAATTCAGTTTGTCTAGTTCACAATTGTATAATAAAGTTTAAAGCAGATGCTAAAAAGTCTAATGAGACTAGATTAAAAGAGACCCATGACTATTAGACCTTGGGAGAGCCTCTGATTTGTTAAACCTGCATACAGCAGGTCTTTGGGATTTTTTAATGGAATAATAACACGTATTTCATACTCATGTAAGGACAATATATTCCTTCCAATACATTATATATAATTACATGTGAAGAGGCAAAAACCCTACATGTACAGATTACTGAAATCCATCATGAAAATACTATTTAGCAGTGCACACAGGTTCATAAACAAGTGAGGTTAGACCAGAAATAATTCAGATCAGGCAGTTAGGATTAGGTTGACTGACTGTCTTACTATATTGATTCTATCATTACTAGATTAGTTTTCAAATTCATTATTGATAGGCTCTTTCTAGCATCTGTTTTTATTCTCTTTTTAAAATAATGTAATAAAATGTATTTTTTGTCAAAATATAGGAAGAAAAATGGTATGTCTTGTTTACCTATATTGTGGATACCATGTTGAAGATGAGTGCATAGAAAAAACATGTTAGCTCCAAATTTGTTTTCCACTTTAAATGTGCAATAGCTATTTCCTTTTGGGTTTTATTTTAACAAAAAAATTCCAGACTTAATTATTTTTGTTGTTTAACAATGTTTTCAATTTCATAAAATAATTCCTTAAATTAAAGGCATGCAATTTAAAAAGTATTATTACCATGTTAGATTTATTTTGTAGTTTCACTAGTTAACCACTTAATTTATTAATTTGAGGATTTCAGTCTTCAGTGAACATGTTATGGTTCCCAGGCAAAATAATTAGTGGAAAGTTTACAGCTTGATTAAATATTTTCTTTGCTCTTTAACAAAAGCCTTTCTGTACTAAGAGATCTGCTACCATTTGAGGTGTTAAATAAAATAATCCAAAGGCAAGGAAACTGGGAGTGCTGTAAAGGCAAAATAACAGAGTTTTAAATCTTTAGGAGATACATCTAGATTAAATTATATATTTTTTAAAAGAAACAATTTACTACATCTGTAGACCCATGAGAGGATGAATAGAGGTAATGTTAAAAATACTTGAAAGCTCTTTGTTGCCAAAAGAGAGAACTGTTTAGGAAGATGCATTTGCAATAATTTAAGAATTCATAAGAAAGGGAACTGTGGGCTGGGAAAGCCTCCTGACATTTAGATCTAGCAGGCTACAGGAAAGCATCCTACAGAAAAAAAAGAAAAAAGTCTTTAAAATTTATAGCTATGTTTTATATATTGGTACACAGAATGATGTTCTACTTTTTTGTCACTATGTATTGTGGAAATTTAATATTTCTATTGAGAAGTACTAAAATTTTAAAATATCAAAAAATACTGAAACTGTGAAGCTAATAATATTTTCCTTTGGTAAGTGGCAAAAAGTTGTTCATAAAATATGTTTTTTTATAAGCTAGCATGCTAATTAAAGATAAAGATAAAGATAAAGATAAAGATAAAGATAAAGATAAAGATAAAGAAATATAAATATATACTCATAGACATGAACTGCTGTATTGTGAACATCATATCATCATATCATTCTCTTACAAAGTTTGGGTTGCTTTCCACTGATATTTTCTTTCTTGCAGATGCCAAAGAAAGATATTATCAGGTGTAAAGTGTTCATTTATGTGAAATAGATATTTGGTCATGCCTATTGGTTATTTTGTTTAAATAATGGTCGGAAGAGTTTTTTAGAAACTATTGCCTAAATTACTAAAGCATCTGTATGCAAGACAATGAAAGTGATTGTTTCACATATTCACATGTGTTCTTAAGTTTTTCTATGGCACCATCCAGCATCTAAGTTTAAGTATTTCTGAGCTTTGAACAAAAGAAATCTCTTTTTTATTTGGTCTAATATAACCACAAAAACCTGTTAATTAGATATGTCTTCTGAACTAGTTCTTCATCCACTTGAAGGATGGGTTTCTGTATCAAAAGCACTGAGTATCTCTGTAAATGTTTAAGTTCCAAATGGACAGATAATGGCACTTCTAAAAATATGATAATTTTGTTTAGTAATTTTACCATCTTTTTGGATAAGGAGTTTATTTTTTAAGTACTGCCTTGTGAAAATACTTGTATTACTTTTAAACACTGAGCCGTACATAACTATAAAAATTGTGTGTTGTCAGATTAGACCTAGAAATATTATTGTATTGAAAATAATATGGTACAATGAAATTTAGGGGAGTTTTGGTTGGTTGGTTGGTTTTTAATTTTGTGTCTGTTTTGTTGTTTAGAAAATAATATTTCTACTCCAGAAAAACCGTATTTGGGTCCATCTCATAGAGAACGGATATCATTTCGAGACCATCCAGTGCAGCTAAGTGGAGGATGGGGAGCAGGCAAAAAAAGGCAAAAGCTTAAAAATATTAGCTGAATATTGGAGATACCTTAACTAGTTGATTTAATCAAACACAGAGAGGATATGGAGAGCTGTTTCTTTTTAAGTTTCTGAATATCAATTGTTGGATTTTCATTTATTACCAATAAACCAGTTTCAGCTAACTACTTTTGACTTATTTTATTATACATGGTTACAGTGGTTTGGGTTTTGTGGGATTTTTTTGGTCAAAGTATTTTATACCTGTCAGTCAGTTATCATAGTTTGTGTTTTCAATTGCTTAAATGTTCATGTGGTATATAAGACAGAACTGATTAACTGTACAAGGTTTGTTGAGCAGTGACTAAGTTTAGGCTTTCTTATAAGAACTGTATGAGAAGGCCAAATGCAATAAGGGTTCATGTTCATGTGATGTATGTCACATACTGAAACAGTAAATTCTCGTTTTCTCACGAAATATAATATATGCTTGCAAACTGTGTTGTGCACTGTAGCAGCCAGCAATGCAATTCTTAGAGAAGTCTGTTTAGAATATTTTACAAATGATGATCATGCACTTTTCTTTTATTAGAAATATGAGTAGTCCTCTAGATCTTTCATCATAAATTATTGTCATAATATGATAAAGCAACCTGTTATGATTTTATACTTTTTTTATACTTCTGTTTCCGACAGGATTTTAGAAAAGGAAAAAAAAAAAAAAAGAAAAGTTTCTCATTTTGTTCTGGGATAATGTAAAATTAGATCTATATGTCATTGTTAACTCAATTTTTTCACATAGACAGGCTCCTTCAAACCCATGTGTAAATGCTTTGTGGTGCAAGGAAATCTAGAAAAAAAGAAATGCTGTTTCAACTGTTCATGGGTATATAACTCATTACTTCTAGTCAATGCTTTGTCCATCAGCATACAGGGCAGAAAATGGTCCTTGATTTCAAAGCCTAATATTATTTTAATGTCTTCCACTTTGAGGGTGTAAGTTGTTAATTTGATATAAAAAAGGGCTGCCTTTAGTATTACCTTGTCTGATTTTGTAAACTGCAACCCCCTATAGATGGACAAAGAGATGGAGAGGGTAATGGGACTTGAAACTTCAGTCAGTAAAGAACATAAATTCTTGCATTGTGGCTGTTTTAAAAATGTACTTAAATTAATATGTGATGTTATTTGTAACCTATTTTTTATGCTAACATACATATCTAACTATGGATTAGAAACATTTATCTTCATTTTTGTAAATACTTGCATTAATTTTCAGATAAAAAGATGGCTGATCTCATGGAAAACCTCTAGTAAATAATTTTTCTTGTTTGAACCACTGTCTTGTTTTCATTATCACTTTGCTATAGAAAAGTCATATTGCACCCTATTTCAGGAAAGATTTCTTTGCCTTTCTGGGGAATTATGGTCAGGTTGCTTAACCTTACTACATAAATGCTATGGTTGTCAACAGGGCATAAAATGTCAGTAGATGTTTATCTTACCTAGTTAGTTTCCAAATGTATGAAGTTAGTGTTCAGGTTGATTTCAGGATCTGCAATATAATGACTTTTAAATGTCACCGACAAATACTGGACCTTTCTGATTTTGCTTTTAACATCAAGGTTAAAAGTTTTGTCGGAAAACCTTCATTATTTCAAAATGTCTGCTGCCACAATTGGCAGTGTGTGTAGCCACTGTTGCAGGTATTAACTGGAAATCAAAATACAAAATCAAGAGCTTCATAGACTAACCCTTCTTGTAGGTTGTCCCCTCTATTTGTCTAGAGTAACCATAATACACCGCACATCACCAAAGCTGTAAATAAGGGATATTTCAGATTTTATGCTTCTTTCTATATCATCTGTATCTACATCTATATAAAAAAAAATCTGTTGTATAAAAATTATCATACCTAATCTCTTTGTTTTCAGAGTGTTTCCGAATGAGAAATATCTTCCAGCCTAAATAAAATGGTCTGGCAACATTTTTAAGGCCTTTTATTTTGCAAAGATAAATGGTAGTTTTTTAATATACAGTTTGCTAAATTGTGAATTAGAGTGACAATATTCACTGACAAGCCTTTTAGGTTCATAATATGCTTACTCTGCATAAGTTAAGTAATATATACATAAATTAAGGTATAAAGTATGCCAAAACATGTTGCTGTTTTCATTGCATAACATTGCAATGTGTAATAAGATGAGGTCTTATTGTATCCAACACATTTTTCTCAGAATTGCAGTGTTTAAAAAAAAAAAAAAAAAGTATATCTGACCAAATACAGGAAAACGTGCAAGATGCAACTTCTGTTCAAGCTAGTAGAAAGATTTTTATTGCAGTCAGACATTCAGAGGTAAGATGAAGCAACCAACATGCCTTGGTGTTCAGTCACATCTTAGAGTATGTAAGGTCAGAGGTAACACAGATGATACACGTGGTGAATATTTACAAAATTAATTTTTCAAGCCCTACTCTGCAAGCAGTTTTATGGGGTTTTTTTTGTGTCCTTTGGGGATTTTCTTTTAGTTCTTTATTTTCCTTTTTTTTTCCTTCTACCCCCCGCCCCCCCCACCCGCTTTTCTTTGTCCCTTCCACACCTACCCCCTGATGCAGTAATTCCCATTTAGGACAAGAACATATACTTAAAAGTAAGCTTCTCTAAGCTTCTCTGTCAGTTAGGTCTGATGTTGAAGTGGCTGTGAAACTGCATTCCTGGATGCGCTGCTACCTTTGCAGTGCTTCAGACTTCTCCTAGACTAGCTAGGATCATCTCCTCTATCCTTTTTTTCTGTTCCGGGAAGATCCTGTAACATGAAGGAGGAGGGACTTCGTATGTATGAGCTCTTTTAAAAAAAAAAAAAATCTTCCTTATATGTATGAAGCTTGAGACTCGACAAGCATTAATTTGAAACAAAGAAGAAAACAACAAGGTGCATGGATTGTACTCACCAAAGCAGATTGAAGAGCTTCCTACAAGCTCTCCTGAACTGTCTCCCTGGACTGTCTTTTCCTGTGCTACTTACCTGAAGGTGTGCTCAGCAGTTCCTTAAACCCTCTGTTGTTTCAATCGGGACACCAGGAAAAACACCTGCAGCAGCAGGGGAAAAAAAAAAAAAAATCTCCCCAAAAGGCATAGTCTGCATGTTAACGAGGTGCTAATGTCAGATTACCCACACTTGAATGACAAAGGTCTGTGAGGAAATATTTTTCTCTGAATAAAGGGCAGATTTACCTACTTCAGACACATTACCCATGCTGACTCAAAAGATAATTGCTCAAAGACATTTCATGTTAAGACACAAAGACGTGTTAATGTATAGCATAGACATTGCTTTGATGCAGGGTGAGTTGGTGTTACATTTTGACTCAGTAAATCATTATCTTTAATCATTAATAATCCTATTATTTGAACATACATTTATTAAAGGCGTGTCCACTGTATATAGTGTTTACATTTTTAAAAAATTTGCCACAGGTAACATCCAAATCTGGCCTCAGACATATGGTTGCAAAACTTTCTCTTGGTCTTCCATTACAGTTGTTAAAAGTACCACGAGGAATATATTGCATTAATATCTCTTTGATGTTAAATTCGGATTCTCATGATAACAGCAATGTGTGTTTATGAAGGTGCAGTCTTTCCTTGATACATACTGAAATTCCTTCCATTAGCATTCATGGAAGCCAGACTAATATTCTGGGATACTGTGCAATCTTAATATGCTTTTCTTTTGTCAGAAAAACACATATGAAAAGTAGCTATTACCACATGGCCCCAAAAAAGCAGGAATAGAACTCTTAATTAAATTATAAAAGATTGAATTGCATGATGTTACATCTGAGTTCCAAGCAGTTTGTACTTAGCTCTACTAGCTGGAGAAAAAAAACAACCAAAAAAAACAACCCTCAGCAACTTGGGGTTTTAATGTTTTATTTCTTTCTACAGTCATAAGTGAAAAAAATTAACTGTTATAGCAGTTGTGAAACAGTTGTGTTTGTGTCAGTCTTTGTCAGTCGCTGCAATTTTTAGAGCCTGTGTAAGAAATGTATATCTATACATTCATATACACTTTCATACATCTGTATAGATATGAGATTGAGATGTCAACTGGTCACGGATGTCGGTGAGGTTAAATAGGAATGGGATACATTTCTTTTCATACGAAGTCAGAAAAATATGCTAAGTGTAGGGAAGGAGACAGGTATGGCCTGCAAGTAACAGTACACATAAAGTAGGGTTGGGTATTGTGGAGAGCTTCTCTCCTGGTTTTCAAGGTAGATGATGGACAGAAAAATGCTGACCACATGCCCTTGGCTACATGCTGAAGGCACTTTCTCGTGCCTTCTGGTACCAAGTTGTGCTGAAAGTTTGTTAGCAATAAAATACCTATTGGAGAGATGTTAATGAAATTCCATGATGCCTAATGAACAGGAACTGGATTTCCAAAGAGATTTTTATTGTCTAACTTCCCCAGACTGACCATCCTTACAAAGACTGTAAATTAATGTCATTATGAGCTGCACTGTTATTTACAGGTCATTTAGACAAGTGGATTGTCTTTTATGAGCACTTCCTCTGTTATTTTGGTGACAGATTCGGACAAGACAGGTTAATACCTAAGTAGCTGCAAAGGACTACCATTTTTCCTCCTTTGCTCTTCATTTGAATGTTAGATTTGTTTGGAGTTAGTAACCTTTTCTTAGATGAAAGATTGCTACTTATATAGGGCTTTTTTTTTTTTAACATTACATTAAATGAGCCAAATACCTAGGAAGATGTAAAATTGCTTCTGACTGAGATGCAATTGAAAGCTCTTTAACAATAAAGCAGGTAAGAGCATTTTGTGTGAGTAACAACAAATGCCGATTTCACAAAGTTAATAAGTGATAAAGAACACTTGGTTAATAGCTAAGGGTTGGGTCTTCTTAATTCCAAACTTATTCATTTGTTAAATTACGCTTATACAAAGAAACCAGAGGTTAGTACATTTTTCTTTGCTAGGCAGTACTTCAATGTTGAATGCAAATAAGCGCCACCAAGTAGTTGAGCCACAGCCAAGGTGTTCCACATATATCCTGAGATGGAAGACAGCTTTTTTTAGTTAAATTCTAATAAAGGATAAATACCTCTATTTCAAATCGGCACAGTTTTCTGTGTTTGTGAACCCTGATCTGAAAAAAAAAAAAAATACACAAATAAAATGGGCTGTATATTCAGGCTACATTCCGATCATGAGATGAGAGCTGTCCTGTCCAAATACTGTGGGGTTTGTCACCATTACCGGGTAGGAGAGATTTGAGAGGTTATCCATTGCAGGAACACTGGTCAGCCGTAAGCTTGGCTCGTTTGTCTAATACGTTGCTATTCGTGCGGTTAAATTGCAGTTTTTCTCCAGCAGTTTTTCTTTAGACGGTGCTGTCCTGTATATGAGAAAAGAAGGATTGTTGCGGGATTAGAAAAGCACGGCTAGGCGACAAGAGAATAAAAATATCAGCCTCGCAGTCTCAAGAAGTGACAGTTTCTGGTGGCTTTTTCTCTTGCCTCGCAGTTAAATTTTTAATTTGCAGGTTCTGTGAGAGGTGCGGCTGCGGCCGGTGCCAGCTCGCAGAGGCTGCGTGAGCCCCGCTCCGGAGCGACACCGAGGGGCTGTGTCCGGGAAGCCGGCACAGATCCTGGCTTCCATTCCACCAGCGACAGCTTCATTCTCCAGTGCAGGTCCAGCCCCATGGATTTCTATGCGACATTTGACCGAAAATAAGTTTTTTAAAAGCATCAAACAAAACAAAACAAAAACAATAGCTAAGAGCTGCATTCTACACGGCCCCTTCACGTTTGTGCCGTTTTCATTCACATTTAAGGTAATGACTCGGGAAGTTGTTGCCCTTCAGGTAATGTGCAGCCTGGCCGTGTGCCGGATTAAGCTCAGAGCCTCGGCCAGGACGATGTGGGAAGGAGTTGTCCCTGCTCAGGAGAGATGCGCTGGCTATAGTGACTTGCAAATGGTCGAAGTGGGGGACTTGCTTTCACCTGGTGGACACTTCTTGCCTTGCGAACAGGAGGCGAAGCAAAGATTCAGGCTTACGAAGTTCTGACTTTACCTGATTACTTGATAATAGGAAACATTTTGTGCCTTGACACAGCACAAATGCAAACAGAAATAAGATAATTTCCTGCTGGGTCATACCATCTCCTCACTGCCCATCGCTGCCTGATACACTCTAGAAAGAGCCAGCACACAAACGGGCTAGGAAAAATGTCTTTTATGGTGACATATGTCGGGTATGGGTTTCGTCAGGAAAAGTGAAATATTTCAAGGCAATTTGTAATACAGTGGATTAATTTGGATTGCCCTGGGTAGAAACAAAAAGAAGACTGTCTCTTGCCAAAGACTGGGGGCTGGCTTTATTTGCCAATATCAATATTTGTGTGGAAAGCTTAAAATATGTTGTTTTTCCAAGAGTTGAAGTTTTAAAAGGGGGGGGGGGTGGAAGGAGGAGAAGGGGGCCCGCGGATGAAATATTAGCAGCATATCGGTTAACCACTAAGTTCTTTTTTGTATCCATCTAGCCGTTTCTGGGAGGAAGGGCAGAGTCTAAAGGCTCGGGGATAGATGCTCCTTAATGCAGGCTAGCGTTTCAAAAGATACAGGCAGCTCTCAGCAAATGATAAAATAAGGCTGAGACTGTACAGAGGCGGTGCTGAAAGACCGGAATAAAATTGCTCTGTGGCTTTCAGCATCGCTGAATTACACATTTTTAATCGCATCTAGCACACATCACATTGGGAGAAAAAAAAAAAAAAAAAAAAATGAAAAAAAAAAAAAAAAAAAAGCCAGAGTTCTTTCAAACGAGGTAGCCTTGAAAACCGGCAGTCCTTGTCAAAGCAGCTCAATGCATCCATTTGCTAGTACCTCCAACTTGAACAGGGATCTATTTCTTAAACCCTGCCCCTTCTGTCTCACACCTTCTTTTACCTTCGTGCTTATAAACCACAATGTCGACCCATATTTCATGCCTTAGAAGAAATCAATTCATCTGAGATGACAAGGCAGCCCCCCACACACTTTCCAGGCCTCTCGATACATTCAGAGCCTCGGGTCGCTCCGGTAATGTAGCCCTTATATTTTCGGAATTGTCCCAGAACCAATCAAACTGCCATCAGGGAAGGCTGGGGAGCTTGCAAAGGAAGGCTTTGCTTTTAATTTGCTCCCTTGCATAGGTACGCGAATGCTCAGTGCCCTACAGCCCAGCGTCCGTTCGCAATGGGAGAGCAAAAGGGGTAATTTAGACAGAATTGTTCACTAAAAAATCGCTATCAGCTCCTTTGGGGGACGGGCCGCTCCTTGGAAATAAATTCCAGGGGTAAGGGTGAGAGAAGAAGCAAATGTTCACCCGTAAAAACCTAACAAGGCGCTTTTTCACTTCTAGATTTTTCTTCTAAGGCGTCTGTTTCTGTGATATGAAGAACGGTGTTCGTCTTTTGCCTTGCGAATATGTCTATAATTTGTTGGAAAGCTTGGCAGAGGGAGTGGGAGAGAGGATTTGGCTTCTGAAGAGCCGCTCCGGCTGCTGGAGCCCGGCTCGGCCGGAGCCGCCAGAAGCTTTGTCCCCGGTAAGGGCGGGGGGACAGCCGCCTGCTCCGGGCTGCTCACAGAGCAGCTCTGTGCTTGCCTTAGCCACCAGCCCGAGTAGCAGCCAGATCCTACTCTTAGCCGAAGTGCGGTGGCGGGCGGGGGCGGGGAGGGTTGAGTGGAGCGGAATAAATATGTATATCGGACATGAGAAGCATCTTTAGGAGCTAATCTCTTCTTTCTGGTGGTACCAAACTGCACGGGGCTTTGAGTCCCACATCCCAACTTTCAAATCCTTTCTAAACTTGATAAAGGGCTACAATAGCAGTCTGATAAAGCATAGATTAAATTCATGTAAGATTTGTTTTTATAACACATATGTAAGTCGGATTCATTATAATTTGAACTAGATCAAGATAAGAGATTAATGCTTTTATAGAGCATCTCTGCTGAGATTTCCTATGGGGCTAAGATTAAAACAACACACTAAATATTATCTCATTCAATTTTGTGTTTAAAAAAAATTAAAAAAAAAACAAAAAACAAAAAAGGGTTTAAGAAGCGTCTCTACCTGTTGCAAGAGGAAAACTGCTGAAGTTTGTCCAGCCCTGACAGCAATCCTGCCTTCTTAACGGGGTAACTCCCCCATTCACCAAATTTCTTGCTTGTCCCCTAATTATTCCTTTGAGGTACATGGAATCTTCATTTTGTCTGTGCAGGTGTTATACAGGACATCTCCCGAACAGCTGAGGTACTGTCAAAGTGCCAAACTGCAGGAACCGTGAAATGGTTGCTGTCGTTACGTTCGGGCTGTTTTGTGGACTAGACCTGGTAGCGTCTGAACCTCGAGCCTGGCTGGGGAAGTGGGAAAGGCTCCAGGCTCGGGCCCAGCCTAATGAGAGGTGACACCACTACACCACCTTCCCTGTACGAGGGGAGCGGGGCTCAGCAGACCCGTCCGCTGCCCACGCAGAATTAACATTAAGTTACCGAGTAGAAGTGTAGTCGATTTGCTCCTACACTTTCACTGATCTCTGAAGCTACGGATCCCAGGTTTTTGGTAAAGTCACTCCAAACAGTGTCAATTAAACATTTCCTCTCCAAACGGAAAATCTTAAAGCCGTCCACGTACACCAGAACCGATTTGTGTTTGCTCAGGTGAACAAAACCTGCCTGTTAGGAAGAAAGTTCGTTAAAGGGGGATTGGATTGGGACCTTCTGCAGCCTGGCTGCGGAAATCCAAAATACAATTTTTATTTTCAGGGATTAAAATAGTGATGCTTCACATATCCAAAAGAAACTCAAAAAAAAAAAAAAAAAAAATCCAAGTCTCCAAAACTCAACTTCTTTCAGTGTTCTTTGAGAGGCAATGCACTTCTTTTTGCTGGCAATAAGAATATTTCACATGATTCTTCTCACAAACAGGATGTCTGGAAAATTATTACTCAGCCAAGCTAGGTTTTGGATGGTAACTTGCAATTTGCCACATTCCACTGGGAGAGAGATATGGAGAGAGTCACAGAGTGTCTTTTTACACCTATTTTTGTTTCCGCACGTCAGGTCAGTTCCCAGGACCGAGTGGCAGTGACCGAGAGGCTAATTTCTCAGAGGGTCTCTCTGGAGCCTACGTCCGTCTCACGCAATAAAATCGCCGTGTCTGAACATGAAATGAGCTCCTAGGTAAAGCCTCAGCAAAGAAATCAGAAGGCTTGTGGAAATACTGAACTATCTGAGCACCTGTTTTTCAAGATAGACAGTTCTCTTCGTGTTTCACACACCCTCCCCCTTTCCCCCCCCCCGGCGGCTATTGGGGTGCTTGATCCCATTCAAGAAAACATATGCTTCCCTTCTTCCCCTATAACCATCCCTCAGCCGCCCCTCACTGCGGGGCCAGCCCTCCCGCTGGAACACCCATCGCTTATCTTCACAGCTTCACCTTCCATCTTCCCAGACAACTGGAGTGTGCGTATGTGGAAAGAATTGAACAGTACCCCCAAAATTCGTTTAGCCGAGCCGAGTCCCAGGTAGCCCGAATTTCCTCCCATTCAATCCTTAAATTAATTTCGTGCTTTAACGCTTCTGGAGGGAAGAGAAGCGTTGGTGTAAAAAAGATTAAAAAGTAAAAATCTTCTTTCTGTGCTACCATCCATAAAAGTTAAAAATATATATTAGAAATGGGGAGGAGGGACGGGAGGGAACAGAGATTCCTGGACATTTGAAAGGGAGATCATCCCCCGTATTGCTGCCGTTCTCACTTTATTTAAACAAATGCAAGGGTGTGAGGAGATGCTTTCAACATGCAGTAGCCGTGTTTCGGCTGGAAACTGCCATCACGAGCAGCAGCGGCTGCAGACCCCGAAGCGGAGGTCCGAACCGCAGCCGTACATTTCTTTTCCCAAATTCTTTGACTGTTCGGCAGCGAGATGTTTGAAATTTAAGTGGGATCCTCGTTCCTGCGCTTGGTCTGTAACTTCTGATGTCAGAAGGGAAGGAATGCCAAGACGGCGGGGGTAAGGCAGCCTGCCGTCCCGCAGGAGAGCCCAGCGGTACCGCGGAGCATCCCGCCGTGTGCGCGCCCGGCTCGTCCCAGTGGACAGGCTTCCCCCAAGGAGCTCCTATGCACTGCAGGGACGAGCTCCTTCACACCACCTCTGGTCACGAAACGTCTCTCCATCACACATAACACCCTTTCACAGAAGGTTTGTGAGATACTCCATCTCTGGAAACACAGCGGCACATCTGCATGCGGCTCTTAATAACGGGGCTGCCTGGCAGAGGGAGTAGGTCCCTGAAGAAAGATGCTTTTCAAAGCTGTCTCACCTCAGCACAGAATTTTTTTTCTCTTTGCCGCCTTCTCCCCCGGGATCTATCCAACCCCTCTCAAATGGTTTTGGTCCGCTGAAGTCAGCTTTCTCTTTTCAAGCTTTTAAGGAGAACGAATGCCATACGTGGCGCCAATTCTCCCCTAGGTTACATCTCTCCTTCCCTTTGAAGTCCGCTGGGTTGCACAGAGGTAAATGAGAGCAGAATTTGGTCCCTGGAGCTAACAGTGATGTGGAATCACTCTGATTTTTATTTATTTATTTATTATTTCCTGTTGAGAAAAGACGGATTTTAAGACCCGGTTAGAGTCGATACCGCGCTCTATATTTAATACTCAGATATTGTAAATATATATATATTCATAT